GAAACATGCCCTATAACATAGGATACAACATTTTAATGAACAGAGCTTTCCATAAAATCAATAAAATGAAAAATATACGAAATAATATACATGCACTGATTTCTGTCGAAAATCGACAACTATGAAACTATGATCCCTTCCCCGACACAAACGGTATATTGTGAGACAGAAAATTGTAGAGAGAAACAAGCCCTATAACATAGGATACAACATTTTAATGAACAGAGCTTTCCATAAAATCAATAAAATGAAAAATATACGAAATAATATACATGCACTGATTTCTGTCGAAAATCGACAACTATGAAACTATGATCCCTTCCACGACACAAACGGTATATTGTGAGACAGAAAATTGTAGAGAGAAACAAGCCCTATAACATAGGATACAACATTTTAATGAACAGAGCTTTCCATAAAATCAATAAAATGAAAAATATACGAAATAATATACATGCACTGATTTCTGTCGAAAATCGACAACTATGAAACTATGATCCCTTCCACGACACAAACGGTATATTGTGAGAGAGGAAATTGTAGAGAGAAACATGCCCTATAACATAGGATACAACATTTTAATGAACAGAGCTTTCCATAAAATCAATAAAATGAAAAATATACGAAATAATATACATGCACTGATTTCTGTCGAAAATCGACAACTATGAAACTATGATCCCTTCCACGACACAAACGGTATATTGTGAGAGAGGAAATTGTAGAGAGAAACATGCCCTATAACATAGGATACAACATTTTAATGAACAGAGCTTTCCATAAAATCAATAAATGAAAAATATACGAAATAATATACATGCACTGATTTCTGTCGAAAATCGACAACTATGAAACTATGATCCCTTCCACGACACAAACGGTATATTGTGAGAGAGGAAATTGTAGAGAGAAACATGCCCTATAACATAGGATACAACATTTTAATGAACAGAGCTTTCCATAAAATCAATAAAATGAAAATATATACGAAATAATATACATGCATTCTGATTTCTGTCGAAAATCGACAACTATGAAACTATCATCCCTTCCCCGACCCAAACGGTATATTGTGAGACAGAAAATTGTAGAGAGAAACAAGCCCTATAACATAGGATACAACATTTTAATGAACAGTGCTTTCCATAAAATCAATAAAATGAAAAATATACGAAATAATATACATGCATTTGATTTCTGTCGAAAATCGACAACTATGAAACTATGATCCCTTCCCCGACACAAACGGTATATTGTGAGAGAGGAAATTGTAGAGAGAAACATGCCCTATAACATAGGATACAACATTTTAATGAACAGAGCTTCCATAAAATCAATAAATGAAAAATATACGAAATAATATACATGCACTGATTTCTGTCGAAAATCGACAACTATGAAACTATGATCCTTCCACGACACAAACGGTATATTGTGAGAGAGGAAATTGTAGAGAGAAACATGCCCTATAACATAGGATACAACATTTTAATGAACAGAGTTTTCCATAAAATCAATAAAATGAAAAATATACGAAATAATATACATGCACTGGATTTCTGTCGAAAATCGACAACTATGAAACTATGATCCCTTCCCCGACACAAACGGTATATTGTGAGACAGAAAATTGTAGAGAGAAACAAGCCCTATAACATAGGATACAACATTTTAATGAACAGAGCTTTCCATAAAATCAATAAAATCAAAAATATACGAAATAATATACATGCACTGATTTCTGTCGAAAATCGACAACTATGAAACTATGATCCCTTCCACGACACAAACGGTATATTGTGAGAGAGGAAATTGTAGAGAGAAACATGCCCTATAACATAGGATACAACATTTTAATGAACAGAGCTTTCCATAAAATCAATAAATGAAAAATATACGAAATAATATACATGCACTGATTTCTGTCGAAAATCGACAACTATGAAACTATGATCCCTTCCCCGACACAAACGGTATATTGTGAGACAGAAAATTGTAGAGAGAAACAAGCCCTATAACATAGGATACAACATTTTAATGAACAGAGCTTTCCATAAAATCAATAAAATGAAAAAATATACGAAATAATATACATGCATTCTGATTTCTGTCGAAAATCGACAACTATGAAACTATGATCCCTTCCACGACACAAACGGTATATTGTGAGAGAGGAAATTGTAGAGAGAAACATGCCCTATAACATAGGATACAACATTTTAATGAACAGAGCTTTCCATAAAATCAATAAAATGAAAATATACGAAATAATATACATGCACTGATTTCTGTCGAAAATCGACAACTATGAAACTATCATCCCTTCCCGACCCAAACGGTATATTGTGAGACAGAAAATTGTAGAGAGAAACAAGCCCTATAACATAGGATACAACATTTTAATGAACAGTGCTTTCCATAAAATCAATAAAATGAAAAATATACGAAATAATATACATGCACTGATTTCTGTCGAAAATCGACAACTATGAAACTATGATCCCTTCCCCGACACAAACGGTATATTGTGAGAGAGGAAATTGTAGAGAGAAACATGCCCTATAACATAGGATACAACATTTTAATGAACAGAGCTTTCCATAAAATCAATAAAATGAAAAATATACGAAATAATATACATGCACTGATTTCTGTCGAAAATCGACAACTATGAAACTATGATCCCTTCCACGACACAAACGGTATATTGTGAGAGAGGAAATTGTAGAGAGAAACATGCCCTATAACATAGGATACAACATTTTAATGAACAGAGCTTTCCATAAAATCAATAAAATGAAAAATATACGAAATAATATACATGCACTGATTTCTGTCGAAAATCGACAACTATGAAACTATGATCCCTTCCCCGACACAAACGGTATATTGTGAGAGAGGAAATTGTAGAGAGAAACATGCCCTATAACATAGGATACAACATTTTAATGAACAGAGCTTTCCATAAAATCAATAAAATGAAAAATATACGAAATAATATACATGCACTGATTTCTGTCGAAAATCGACAACTATGAAACTATCATCCCTTCCTGGTCACAAACGGTACATTGTGAGACAGAAAATTGTAGAGAGAAACAAGCCGTATAACATAGGATACAACATTTTAATGAACAGTGCTTTCCATAAAATCAATAAAATGGAGAATATACGAAATAATATACATGTTCTGATTTCTTTCGAAAATCGACATCTATGAAACTATAAACCATTCCTGGTCACAAACGGTACATTGTGAGACAGAAAATTGTAGAGAGAAACAAGCCGTATAACATAGGATACAACATTTTAATGAACAGTGCTTTCCATAAAATCAATAAAATGGAGAATATACGAAATAATATACATGTACTGATTTCTGTCGAAAATCGACAACTATGAAACTATGATCCCTTCCCAGACACAAACGGTATATTGTGAGACAGAAAATTGTAGAGAGAAACAAGCCCTATAACGTAGGATACAACATTTTAATGAACAGTGCTTTCCATAAAATCAATAAAATGAAAAATATACGAAATAATATACATGTACTGATTTCTGTCGAAAATCGACAACTATGAAACTATGATCCCTTCCCCGACACAAACGGTATATTGTGAGACAGAAAATTGTAGAGAGAAACAAGCCCTATAACATAGGCATTTTAATGAACAGTGCTTTCCATAAAATCAGTAAAATGAAAAATATACGAAATAATATACATGTACTGATTTCTTTCGAAAATCGACAACTATGAAACTATGATCCCTTCCCAGACACAAACGGTATATTGTGAGACAGAAAATTGTAGAGAGAAACAAGCCCTATAACGTAGGATACAACATTTTAATGAACAGTGCTTTCCATAAAATCAGTAAAATGAAAAATATACGAAATAATATACATATACTGATTTCTTTCGAAAATCGACAACTATGAAACTATGATCCGTTCCCAGACACAAACGGTATATTGTGAGACAGAAAATTGTAGAGAGAAACAAGCCCTATAACATAGGATACAACATTTTAATGAACAGTGCTTTCCATAAAATCAATAAAATGAAAAATATACGAAATAATATATATACATACATACTGTAATAATATATATATACATGTACTGATTTCTGTCGAAAATCGACAACTATGAAACTATGATCCCTTCGCCGACACAAACGGTACATTGTGAGACAGGAAATTGTAGAGAGAAACAAGTCCTATAGCATAGGATACAACATTTTAATGAACAGTGCTTTCCATAAAATGAATAAAATGAAAAATAAATAGATGAGATCAATGTGTTGCCGTCAGATTGCCCTAGACTTGTTTATTCGGTGCGACCAACGCAAAAAAGACGCTAAGCAAACTTTATCCTATGATGTATGTTTAAGTATTTGTTTATTAACAAGAAAGCGTATCAGTTTTTTGTTACAAAGTACTGATTGACACTTCGATTTTGCGCCCCCACAATCTTGGGATAAATCTTATTTTTACGTGAGGAATCTCCCCACGAAAGCTGGCACATGTTTTTTGAAACACCCTGTATATTTATACAAAAGTAAATAATTACAGTTGAGGGATGAAACCTTTGGTGTTACACAGCAAAATAAAACACTAAATCACCACAATACTTTTACTTTTACACTGGACGCGCGTTTCGCTAACCATGTTAGCATCATCAGCAGATGATTATAAACTCACAGTTCAGTTTATAATCATCTGCTGATGATGCTAACATGGTTTGGTTTGGCGCGAAACGCGCGTCCAGTGTAAAAGTAAAAGTGTTTTGGTGTATTGTGGTGATTTAGTGTTTTATTTTGCAAAGTAAATAATATTTTTATCCGATAGGTTTACTTGAAAAAATTAAACAATAAATTTATTCTCCGAGAAGAAAATTGAGAAAACGTAAATTTTCCGAATAGCTACTTTATCCCAATGCAAAAATAACAGAAATACCTACAAACTGGCTATTCAGTCAGCTACATCGATACTTACATCGACCGTTATGCCTTCGAATGGGAAAACTTTCGTGCTGGGATGTTCCCTCGGAGTGTATCTGTAAAATTCATGCAGCCCTCTGTACCATTTGACCGAATACAAAATATCGTCTTCCAAGTCGTAGAAACATCGAAGTGTCGAATGGCTGAGATATTGCACGATTTGCGGTTCGATAGTTAGTTTTACATTTTTCAAACTTAACACATCTGAAAATAAAATAGAAAATATTGAAGGATGGTTTGAAAATTTCAATATTTAGACAAAAACACTATGATATAATTTGTTTGGAACGAAAAATAACCCTTTTTTGCATTATTATATAAATTATTTTATATTGATTTTATTTTTTGTTGATTTTAACTCTTTATTTTTGTTTATTACTCATTCATCATTGATTTTCATGGTATAAACATAAGTTTTTTGCTTCTATACAATCTGAAACTGCCTCTACACTATCCCCGAAATGTTTTACGAAATATTTCGTGAAACATTTCGCAAAACATTTCTGGAAATAGCAGGATAAATAGGTATAAGCTCGTGTTATAAAAATTAGTTCCCACGTTTCCTGAAATAGGGCCGAGAGCTAATTACTCCGAACCAATGGGCACTTACCCTAGTATCCTACAGGCAGAAATCTACGCTATCGAGAGATGCGTACAACTTATCTTAGATAGGAACTATCGGAAACAAGAAATAGCCATCTTATCTGATAGTCAAGCAGCGTTAAAGGCGATCAACTCAGTATCAATCAATTCGAAATTGGTCAAAGAATGCATAGAGAAGCTGAATAAATTAGGCAAAGAAAACAAAGTCCTCCTACACTGGGTGCCTGCTCACCAAGGGATAGAAGGCAATGAAAAAGCAAATAATCTAGCTAGGAAAGGAGCGAACACTCCACTAACTGGACCAGAACCGTTCTGCTTTCCAAGTGGTAACCAACTCAAGGCGGAACTCAAGAACTTGGAAGATTCCATCCGCAACCTGGAATGGAAATCTTGCAATGGTCTAAGACACTCGGAGAAGTTTCTGAGGGCTTATGATCAAGAAAAATCACAGATCTTCCTGGGTCTGAGTAAGAACAATCTTCGGATTGTCACGGGGTTTTTAACAGGACACTGTCTCCTCAATGAACACCTCAGTAGATTGAAACTAAGAAGAAACGGCGAATGCAGATTCTGTGGGGAAGATGGTGAAACACCAGTACACCTCATCACTGAGTGCCGAGACGACAACCATTCGTGCCATGAATTTTGGTACGACTGATATTGGAGATGGAGAACTACCCTCTATAAAACCGTCCCAGATACTGGCTTTTGTCAAAGCCCTGGGACTGTATGATGAGTTATGATTCAAGAAAGGGGGACACAATGGATCTGTAAGGTCGAAGTGATTAACCCCCCTCCCACTCATTCTAAATTCTAAAATTCCTGAAATAGATCGAGACGCGCCGTGATTGGTTGTTTGTTCATTTTTGCCGCGTCCTTTTCTAAGTTGAAGTTCAATAAAACACAGTTTACTTAATCGGTAATGAGTTGCGTAGAGGCCACTAGCTTTTAATTTTAACAGCCGGGTGGTCGGGGTTCGAAGATCTTAATAAAAGGGCGCCACGAGATTATACTCTATGAACTCGGCATAAAAGATGTTGCTATTAAGTAGACTTCAACACTAACCTCGAACTGTTGAGTGTAACTACCATGAACTCCAAATATTACTATAATTACTTGAACTTAAGTGACTCTAACTTAACTATGAGACCAGACTGCAAATAATACTACTAAAAATATTTAAGCAATTTATTGAAATATCAAGAAGGTTAAATGTATAAAGAGAATGATGAAATGTACAGTACATCTGCTGGATCTGTGTCTATGAAAGGAATGCGGACAAAAAACAATTAAATAAACAGCAATACATTTTATACGTCGACTTGACGAGTACGTCACCGCAAATCGCTCCGCCCACTCATTTTATTGGCTACTTGCAAATTTGTCGAATTTTTATTGATGGGACGCGTCGTCTAATTTTTTACGAAAAACATCGAGAGAATATCGTTTCCCCTCTCACGGATACTCCGTAGCTACAGAACGGACAGACGTACTGTATGTGAAATGAAGTAAAGTTTAAATTGATAAGAATCAATGAAAAATGAAAATGGTCTAAGCTATACCAAATCTAAGACGTCATCCCCCTTAACTTAAACTAAGTATATTCTACGGGCGGAATACAAATAGCAAACTAAATCTAACTAATATCTAAACAGTCTTACTCCACTCGATGTGATATACTTGAAAACTTCTCAGGCTCTGGATCGGTCTTCTTGCTCTACAATTACGAACAACCAAATAAGACTTAAGAAAGATAACACTCAACTAATCTTTCTACACCACGTGGGCGTGAAAAAGTCGAAAACCAGTCAATAATACGAACCAAAATCAGTTGAGCATTGACTTAGAATAGGCAGAAGAATTATAGCATACCTTGGAACTCTCGGGGACTTCTTGGGGACGTGCAATCGGAACAACGGGTGAAAATTCGGCTATTTAATCCCTTGATGGAAATTTGGTCGGTGGTCCATACAAATTCAACAAAATCCAACCACGTCTCTGACCAAATGTGTTTCGGAAGACTTAGTCTTTCTCTAAGAAAAGACCTGCTAATTACCAACAGGGAATGCTTCACAAAACAGGGAGCCAGTTCTTCACACGATGTTCTTCGGTCGGGAAATACACAAGTGATGCAAAGATTCGATTTCCTTCACAAAATCAGATTTCAACCGGAAATCTCCCTCCAGGATATAGATAGAGAACTATATATCTTGACTAGTCCAACTCACAAAAAGGCATAAATAAAAAACGATGTTCCTAGAATATTTTCCACAGCCATATTCCATATCCGGTCAATGAACGAACTTAACTCAGAAATTCCCACAATTAAATGAACGAATTGCGATCCATATCAAAAATAAACAATTTAACTACGAAATTTTATCTGGTAATTATAAAATTTCAATAACCAAAACAAAGGATAAATCAATCCAAAAACATCTGATTTGATCTGACAGTGACAAGTGACGGATAGGTGATATCAAAGATAAAGAGAGGTCGACAAAAAGTCTACTGCTGGGCGGCCGTATCCAGTGACAATGTTCTGTGGCTGTATAATATCGCGGTGTATATCGGGTTGCATAATCGTAAAATTTTAAATAAAATAATATTTAACAATAAAATTATAGTAAACATGATGCAAAAATAATAGTTATTTGCGATAATTTATGAGCTAGCACAAAGATGTCGTAGCGAGGAAATTTGACTGTTACATTTTTTTTACTTTAACAGTTATTCCGCGAAGGTTACACAAGAATATTTAATTTTACTCACTTCTGTTATAAAATAAAACAGTTACTAACTAGCGGACTACCATTTATCGGCATATAATCCACGGTGTTGTGCATCATGAACAAAATATGCACAAAATTATTTAGAAAATCGTGTAATTATTTATTATTTCTGGTTATGGTAAAGTATCATTTATACTGTAGTCTGTAGAAAAGTTTCGTTTTGAATTTGGTTTTGTTTTCCTAGTTTTAATTGTCTAAATCCCGGCATAATAAATACTAGTTGAATGGGTTTATATCAAACCATGTTGAGTGCTAATAAAAGTATCGTTTACAGATTTCTCTTAAGAGCAATAAAGGAATATGGCTTTTAAAAAATATCCGAGGACTATAGTTTTCTTGACATCGGGTCAATCAATAATTTTCCCGATCAACTCGATATATTGGTAATGTTACTCATCAAGCAATACTACTCTTATATTAATAAATTATATATATATATATATATATATATATATATATATATATATATATATATATATATATATATATATATATATATATATATATATATATATATATATATATATCAATATAATGAAATATCATCGTAACAGGTATTTTAGAAACGTCTTGGTTTACTTATTTCACTGAGATTAATGAAAAAAAATCCTTTGCCTCGGATACAGATACCGCCACGTTTTGGAAATAGTTCAAAACAAAACAAAATTAAACGAGACAACAAAAACGCCAAAAAAAAATCCCCCACGCCCTCCTCACGGGTAGTTTTTAGGCGCTTTTGAGAAACGAAAGTAGGTAGAGGCAAACCGAAGTGGGTCAAGACAACTGGAAATAAATAGAAATGCGTCAAAATTGGGCGACGAAAGGCGAACTTGACATGTTTCCAAGAGTTTTCCGCATAGTGTGGAGGCTGTTTTAGGAACATTATTTTATATTAATTTTTTATTTTTTGTTAATTTTTAACACGTTATTTTATTTTTCTCTTTATTCTTGTGATATTTAAATATAACAATAAATATAAGTTAAATATGCAAAGGCAACATTGCATCGATGGTGATTTAACAAACTAAAGGTGGGTTCATACTTCGAGTATTAGCCCTAACTTTAACCTTAACATTAACCCTAAGAAATTAACCTTGAGAACTTAAGGAAAGGCCGTTCATACTTCTCCTACTTGTCTTAAGAAAATAATCAATATTCTCGTAAGCGCTTGCGCTCATATAGAACATATGTTTTGAACTAACCTAAATTTACAATTATTTTTATTATTTCTAATACTAGAGAAACGAATTTTTACATTAATACTTTCTAGACCAAAAAATATATGATTTATTAACATTTATAAACCGTCAAATTCAACATGTCAGATATTATTTCGAGAATTCTTAAAACCCCTAGCTTTGAGCATGCGCGATTCAGTTTTGAATTAACATTAGCCCTAAGAATATAAAATATCCCAACCTGTTAGGACTAAGGCTAATGTTAGGACCGATTGATTCATATTCTTGGGGTTAGGACTAATGTTAGTGTTAGGGCTAAGATCGGAAGCATGAACCCACCATAACAGAGAAGATAATTACAATTAATTACATTACTAATATGATATACAGCGAGGACTACTTCTGTAATTATTTTTCTCTAACTCAAGGATTAATTTTTAGTTAGATTTAATATTGATATTTAACACCTTCTCCTTGTCGTTATAGGAGAGAAAACAATAAAAAGAAGGCCATTTCGTATTGTAATAAATGGTTAACAAGGAATAAAAAGGAAATTGTCTATTTATCACGTTCCACTCTAATTGGAGTTTATAGCTCGTAAGAAGCCATATAGGGTAGAAGTAATAGATGTCAGTTTTATATGATAGCATGACGTTATTATTCTTGATGGTTACTATTTCTTTCTATTATATACCTTAAAATTTATACTTATCTTCATTATTAAATTTAATAAAACGTTTGTTTATATTATAAGGATAAAGCATAATCTTCTATAAACACCTGTGTATCTTAATATATTTTTTTAAAAGTTCGTTTTCGCCCGATTTCAATTAAATATATTTAGTAGGATTCGATATTCAAGCTTGAACTATTTTTGATTTTTTTTTGTATAATCAATATATCCGCTACCACACAAAAGATAAATACCCAAGTAGCATTTTCACGACTTGCGACCACATGTTTACTAAACACAACGTTGGATTAGTTACAAAAAATAGTTAGCTCCCTACCTTGGGTATTAAAATAAATTTAAACGTTTTTATAACGTTGTGCCGACGTTGGACTAGTACTACAGCAAAGTAGAAGCTTCTGCGACGTCGAATAAACGTTGTCTTGTAACCTTTTTTTGCTTAAGTGATCTTTAGGTGATTCGGACAACGTAGTTACAACGTTGGACAATATAGAGTTTTCCGACGTCAGTTTCAGGACCTATTCCAACGTTATGCAAACGTCGTCTGTTTTACTAATTCCAACGTTGTTTAGATTTCCTTATTCTTACGTTGGTAGGACGTCGAGTCACTACCTTTTTGCAACTGTATTGAATTCTGTTCAGTCAGACAGTTCAGTGCTGTTTTTGTTTTTATTAATGGGACATAAGAAAGGTACATATAAAACTAAATTTAAATATACATCGACATATATTACCGATAGTTTATCCACTCCCTCGTTTATTTAGATTATAGAGGGCGGCACAAGCTAGACTCTAGGATGACTAAATTAGGCAATCTTGCGACTAGTATACTACCTGTTAACTTCTTTAATTTTAAGGCCCATTAATATTTTTCAAAGTAGAAACAATACATTTATCAATAAAGTTGTTTGCGTTTAACTTTTTTGCCTTGGGTAACGAGTTACAGAGTCGGTTAAAATGTTTCAATAATTATGATCTTCAAACATCCTCCACACTTAAATACTTTTGTTTTGTTTTCCTTCACTGCCATCTGACATATGTCTCTAACTAAATCATAAAAATAATATTTTTACTATAATTATCCCAACTTAGGATAAAACACGACTTAGACGCCATATTAGTTTTGTATTTCTGTGAATTAGATTTTAAACAACGTTGCAGTTTGTACTAAATTACGCTTCTTGCCAACGTCGGTATCCAACGTCGTTTCGACCCAAAAATTATTCTCCAAACTAGTGCAGACTAGGGTTGGCACGAGGTTGTGCCGACGTTGCGCCCCGACGTTTGGTCGCGTGACACAACGTTGTCCCGACGTCCAAATGCTGCTTGGGTAGTACCTATTAAAGGCTATTATTTATATTGTGTCCACGATACACTACGCATTTTGTGTGGTGGCGGTAGCATTGATTAATTTGCTTCTTCTTATTGTAATAAGACGAAGTCATGTCAATGAGGAAGATGCATATATTTTATTTTTCGCCAGAAACTGTTCAATTTATTAGAATAAATATGTATAAATGCAAAAAAAAACTTTTTTCTTGGAAGCAATACCACAATTTTATAAAACGGGCCATTAAAATACTATGGATAACGCAAACGACGCCTGGCGAATTGAAACGATATTCTATTGGTCTGACGTCACCCGCCGTTCTCGTCGACACGCGATGGCCAGCAGCAGCCAGACGTGTTCCGTTTATGTACGTATTTAGGTGGCGTTAAGACATTTTTGTTGCTTGTAACGTTGATTGAAAGAGCTTTTTATGATTTTTTGTGCAGTTATTATTTGTATGTGTTGTGTGTTCTGAGAATTTTTTTAGTAATGGCAGATTCCGGGTTTGTAAAAGCACAATCAGATAACTTGTCAAAAGTCGATGCTTTTATGTTGGCTGCTTTTATAAATACAAATTCCCAATTTATTGGTGCTGAATTACGCGGAAAAAAACAGAGAGGTATGTAACATTTATTCTTTGTAGTACTGAGGCATATTTAAGTATAAGTAGGTACCTACTGTTAGGAACTTTTATATAGTTATAAATTAATGTTATAAACTTATTTTTCAGATCAGGTAGGGAGACGTATGGAGATAATGCTGTAGGTTATGTAGAAGTGAAAAAAGACAAAAATATTTGTTTAGTATGTGGAAAAATAACTCCAGAGCATAGCGTGAAAAAGAAAGTTTTTTTTATATATATTGACACCCCCTTACCCTTGTTATTTTTAAAGATTGTTTTTTACGAAATTATAGGAAATAAATTGTTTATCAGTAATGAAAATATTATACAAGGTGTCCCATAAGCAAACGCCAAAATTAAGTTACTTTTTTAAGTGAAACACCCTATATATTTTTGGATTCTTCGCAAATTTCTAGATATTCTAGATATATTTCATGTATAATATCCTATACCTATCTTCAAATGTTTACGAAATATTGACAGTTGAAAAGCGAAAATACCTACGATTTTCTGGACCACCTTTTTTGAAACACCCTGTATAACTAGAATTAATTTTAAAAGAGAGTATATGAAAAACCATTCAACTTTTTTATTTAATGTTTTCTTATAAAACTTGCAGTTAAGGCTGTATGTGGGTGTCAAAATAGAATGAATGGCCCTGTACATTCAAATTTCATATACCTATGTAAGACAATATACATAAATATATGACTTTTTGGCCCCTTTTTTCCGCTACTCGTATTTTTGTTTACAAATCTATGAACTTCACAACGATAAATCATAAAAATAGAGGATAATTTAACGTTTTTCTTTTCATCTCTTCTCATGGCCTTGGACCATTTTTTTCTGTTTTCGCTCATCCATTACTATTTATAAATATCACTAATTACTAATTATGCATTAATTAACACAAATAACTAAAATTTTGACTTGGATTCACAGCGTTTAAAAGCAAACTGTGTAAAAGAAACACGCGTCTGGCTCCACTCAACCAGAAGAACGGCGGGTGACGTCACAGCGGCAAGGCGCGGTAGAGAGCGTTTGCCCGGCCATTTAAATTAACAATATTTAATTATTTTATATCAGAAGTATTTCTTAACCGATATCAATGATTTTTTTTTGTTCAATTTGTAATTATATGAACTATTTTTTAAAACCATTATTTAAAAACATGCATTTTCCTCATTAGTAAACAGCCTTCTTGATGACGTTGGTGGCCAGCTGTCATACCAGCGGTTTCGGGGCCTACCAACTGGACCCTTCTTTCTGCTCCTGTTTTGTCTTCCAAAATTTGCATATTAAAAATCTATGTGGCAAAGTTAAATTTATAGATGCTGTAGGTTGTCTTCATTTTTAGCATCAGGTCTTCATCAGGATAGGAACATCTGCATAACAAATACCAGAAAAAATTTCGAGTTTTCTTGTACCTTATACAGGGTGTCCCATTTTGGTTGAAATCATAGGATATCTCCGTTATTCTTGAAGATAGAAGGATGCGGTTTGCACAAACCTGTCCCACTTTTTTATCAAACGGAAGATGCCGTAAACAAAATTTTTATAGCCCTCTTCGTTTCTGAGCTACAGGGTCTTTTTGAAAATTTTGCAATTTGGGACACAACCTGTATCTCTGTTGTTAAAGTTATCGAGAAGGCAAAAGCTGTTTAAGGTAGAACTTTTTACGTAGAATACAGTGGCGTAGTCTGTTATTCTATGAAAAGAATATTTTTAAAGATATGAACTAAAGTTATGTTTTCTTAAATAGAATGCACCCTGTATATGGCTTGCATATCACTCTATATTTATTTTCACTTTTTACTGCAATATTCACTAATAAATTACCAATAATCACTAATAAATTCTTTATATATTAGGGAAACTTAACTCTTACAAATATATTTGTAAATCTTGGAAGCTATCGTACAGGAACTTTCAGATATTCGTTTAGCTAATGTACGTGAAATATAATTTCAGCAAGATGAGCTCCCCCTCACAACTGTTACGGGTTCATTTTATCCTTAGATTATTTTCTTCATTTTGACATTAACTTAGTCCTAAAATAAATAGTAATAATATAATTTCTTTCTAGTTACTTATGTACAATTAACTTACTAACAATAATTATCTAGTTCTCAATAAAATTGTAATTGCTAATTTAAGTTGTCATATAGTCTCTTCGAGTTGATATTTTGAATTGTACGAGTAAAATTTCTTCGGTGTAGCCTTACAGTTTTTGGATATATTAAGCTGTTGGATATATCATTAGATCTTTTTAAAATTACCATTTTCTGATATTTTCACAAGCAGATTGGATTTATTTCTTCTTGTTTATAACTTGTAGATGTTAGCAAACCTCTCAACCTAAAATGTTTTGATGATAAATTTTCATAAACATTAGTCGTTATGTAATTTTAGCTTCGGTATATATTACTCACCTTTTTAATAGGTCCAGTTTTATTGATATATTGGATATTTTAGAAATATGATTTCGATTTTCCAAGGTTTTGTTTATCTGTCAATTTTGATGCACTTTGAAGGTCACAGATAGTAGGTTATTTAGAGTTTTTCTTCTTTTAATAATATTGGGATTTTGTAAATTTGGTCGAAATAAGTCGCCTCAGATTAGTGATACACAAAATTATATATGATTATTTGTTAGATACTTTCAACTTTAGTAAATATTGTTGGTGGTACTTTTAAGTTTTCAAATAACTGATTGAATTTTTGAGGGTGCAGCCACACTATCCTAAAAACGGCGTATCGGCGTAACGGCGTAATGACCTTGAATAGATTTCCAGTAATTCTATTGGCTGAAACATTCATCTGTCAGAAATTTTATCTGTCAAATTCATCTGTCAAGAATTTCAGCCAATAGAATTACTGGAAATCGATTCAAGGTCGTTACGCCGTTACGCCGATACGCCGTTTTTAGGATAGTGTGGCTGCACTGGGCTGCACCCATGATACAAAGAAAACAAGGTATGATCGATAGCGGCTCCAATTTCGTTAAGTTTGCGCATACCACCTGTGACGTCATACGCCATACAAAAAAATATCTATATTGTTGAATTGCCACTAATAAAAAAAAGACCTAAAATAGGGAAGAATTAGGACATAACCCCAAAAGTTATGTCAAATCATCTTGCTTGACATTTGAAAAATTATTTTCACATTTAATGTGTCATCTGTTTGACAATTTGAAATTGGCGCGCGGAGCTTGCCGACCAATGGTGCCGTTTATCACCTGTGACATAATGACCAACCTGCGCAATATCATACCTTGTATTCTTTGTATCATGGGCTGCACCCTGACGGTTGTCAATTTTTCGGTTAAAAATGGTAAAATGGACGTCTAAAAGTTTGATTCGATTAAAATCGTTAATCATCTATTATATAGGATTATAAATTAGGGTCCATTAGTGGTAATTATTTTGGGTGCTTTGTGTGGAAACGAATTTTACCTCCACTTGTTGGGATTAATACCAGAGTATAACCGAATAAAAAGAAACCCTTCAAGACAGAAGGTAAGTTTCTATTTTACTTTTTTTTCAAACGAATTTCATAATTTGAGGTGCAAATATTTAATTCATACTTACTAAATATTAAACATTACATTACATAGAACTAAATCTATATATAATACAAAAAAAATATGGATAAAAAAAATAAAACTTAAATCTAATCCTAAAGCGACCGAAACCAAAATAAAATATTAATTCTAAACATAAAAGAAAAACGAACAAAACCTAAAAATCTTATTTCTAAAAAAAAACAATTAAAACTAATAATAAAAACTCTTAAAAATAGCCTTATAATCTGAAATAAAACTATTCTATTTGCAAAAAAAAACAATTATTTACATATGTACAGTTTACGTAGATACCTAATTAATTTTAGCTTTTAGTGCAGCTTTGAGGGCTGGGTATAAATCAATTTCTAGGATAGGGAATAGTATTCTGTAATAAATTACGTAATACTCATTTACTTTTTGTTAAGATAAAGTACGCTAATAATTCAAGTTATTTGCTTTAGTTGGCTTTTTTTTTTCTTATTTTATTGCTGCTATTTATTTTTCTAGAGCAAAGTAATAAGATATTTCTTTCTTTGTTCTAGGTTTTTTTTGGGGGCTTTTTTGTCCATTGTATTTTCTCCTTTGTACTTCGAAGTACTACTTCGTACTACATTCCAAGAAGTGGATGGGTTTTTGTTTTGATGCTGCATAGGAATCCTATAGGCACATGCACCTAGCTTAGCGATTTAAAACTAAACTTTTTTGAATATTATGATCATTTATGTAAAGTCATTAAAGATAGGTATAGGTTAATTATTTCTGAAAATTCGACTTTTCAAGTGGAGAAAGATACGTCAAAATATTTTTCAATACCGTTTGATAGACAGTTATCCCGTGGTCTAAAAGGAATTTTTAAGAATGTCAATTATAAACTTGTGTATAGTGCTAATAATAAATTACAACAATTATTAGGTAATCCAAAGGATAAAACACCTCTACTGGAAAGGTCGGGTATTTATGAAATTTCTTGTAAAGATTGTAATCAGAAATATGTTGAGCAAACTAGAAGATCAATATTAACTAGATTTAAAGAACATTTAGCTCAGATAAGATATGGTAGACCTGATAAATCTTGCGTTGCCGAACATATTGTTGATAAAGAACATTGTATAGATCTTAATAACATAAAATTACTTAAACAAGTCTCAAATTACAGGCAATTAGATGCATATGAAAACATCAGAATTAATAAATGTAAAGATAGTATGAACAGAGACAACGGTCCAATTCCTTCAAGTTCTTTGTTCCTACTACTCTAGCTCTAGTGGCGGAAATCTAACTGTTACGCTTGATGGGTTCTGACTCGGTTGGCTAGATCTTGCCACGCCCACTCTGTGCCCACTGAGCGAGTATATAAACGCTCCAATTGTAGATTGCATTTTAGTTTATAATCATCTGCTGATGATGCTAACATGGTGAGCGAAACGCGCGTTCAGAGTAAAAGTGTTTTGGTGTATTGTGGTGATTTAGTGTTTTATTTTGCTGTGTAACACCAAAGGTTCCAACCCTCAACTGTAATCTACTAATAAGAAAATTACATATTTTAAATATTGCAGTAAAAAGGAAAAATAAATATAGAGTAATATATATTTTTGAGAAGCTCATAGCAAGATGGATCATATGATTTATAAATATATAGGGTGTTCCATTTGAAAAAAATTATATATTTATAATTTTCTCCCTGATTATCCGAACAGAAAAATTGTCTGTTTTTTCTTTTGTTTTAATAATATATATAATAATATAATTGGAACAATCCTAACAGGGTATTTAGAAAAAAGGCATTTTACTCTAAATCTACAATATTGTTGCGGACCCGTGTGAACTCGACCTAACCTAACTATATGTCCCGCCCTCAGATGACCTTAACATCGCATTAAAGAATAGACACGGTAATGATTCATTCGTTCGAGAAGAATCGAGTCCCACTGGAATGAACTAGTACATACGAGAACATTCGAAAACCTTCTCTACGCACCTAACGATCTATGGACTATTCTAGAGTTCTTTACCTGTTGGTATAAAAGCCGGCGGCTGTGGCCTACAGGGAGCAGTTATAAATATACCAGTGCAGTTGACGCGCTAAAATTCAAAATAAATTCTTAGTTATAAATCGTTTGTAAATATTCTATAAGTCTTTTAATACGAGTCAAGTTGGCTTGGAAATGACGCGGTCGATGACATTCCTCATAAAATTTTACATATAGAGAGAGAATGACAGCGATATTCATTTCATTAACGGTGACGCCGTTTTTTAAATAGTGTACCATACGATTACAACTTCTATCAAGCTACCTTAGGAACCGACAATTGATAACAATATAATCATAAAATTATGTTACCGAAATCTAACTCAATTAATGAATATCAATCTTCCATCGATAGCCATTTAAGAAAAGGTACAATTAACCTAACCTAACCTAGCTGTCAATACAAGCAGGTTATATTATTATAAACGAATTTCTAGGTACTTACTTTATTAAAGAATAATCCACTCTAGATGGATACACAAAATAAAAAAGTTCTTAATTTAAAATAATACTCTAGTAAAAAGGCCGGGCACAATCAGAAAACGATATTACTTTGAGAATGAACACTATTGTAAAAAGTTTTTAAACTCCTCGTAGCGGTGTTCTCGCTAGAAAAGTTAGGCACTGATGGCTGCCGGGAAAAATGACGAAATATTACGATGAGACGGGTGGCGGGAAGAAACTTTTCCTTCCCTCTTACTCCGCCAATGTATTTTTAAATCGATAGTGGCGCCCTCTGACAGCGGGATTTGGCAATTCTTGTTCCAAATCCTGCCATTTAAGTTTTTGCACCGTGTAGTTTAGAGAGTGGTGAATCGCGTGGTAAAATGTTGGGAGATTGCGCTTTTAGCGCCCTCTACTTGGCTACAGGTACGAACTATGAAAGAGCGGGAGATTTAAATTATTATTATACTTATTTTTTAAGGCAATTAAAAATTGCTTAAATGGGCATGTGCGGTGATATGACATGGAGGGCCGGCCGGCGAAATTTTATATTATTATGTTATAAAGGATATGAATACAGCATTTATAATTATTACTTTAGTTTTATTCAAAGTCTTACACGCTATTTATATAAGCTGGGATTATCTCCATTTATTTCAATATTTTTGGTTAACACTCTTAATTTTAATTTTCCTTTTTTATGGAGAAAACGATTAAATTAAAATTGAAAAGAATGGAAAGAATGACCAATTATTTATCTGTGTATTAAGTATAATACTATTCTACTAAATATCTAGCTACATTGTACTTACAGTTAAATAGCTACATTATAACTAGTTATATACATATTTACAGTTTTATGATACGGAAATATAAATTTTCATCGTGCTATCAATTGATTCGCTTTTTCGACTTGAGTACTGATAACCTCAGAGATGGCTCCAGGAATTTTACCTTTACAGGCCTAGAATACAGAAGATTCATAGTAGAATTTTTGGTATTTACTGCCTATTAAAAACAAACCTACCCCCGACATCAAAGGGACATACAATTATGCCTTGTTCTCAGCCATGATATTCCTTCCATTCTATATCCAACATCCAACTTAGCAGACCTTCTGGTTCACAACAGGGCCTAGACTGGTCGGATGATATTTTAACAGAATAGCCCTTGATATCTCTTTCACACTTTCATTTTAATAATTAAATAGGAGGGCTGGATTTATAAATTCTGTTAAGAATAGCCACTGAAATAAAAACTTAGGCATGGACATTACGAGATTACCTTTGTCTGCTATTTTTAAAATAAAAAACAACTGTTTAGTTTGCACAAAAATAAAATTAACAATCAAAAATTTCTTAAAAATGATCCAAGCCTTGTACTACGCCGCGTGCCGCTTTTGGAACAAACAACAAACAAAAACAAAAGAATGAGGTTAACGGCGTTATTAATGTCAATTTTCTAAACTGGTTGGAAGC